CATTTATTTTAGAAGCTAATGCTATTTAAATATTATATTTACTCTTTTTGAAAACTGCACAACACTCTTTATTTTCTATGGGATGTTTCAACCTCTCAACATACAAGCTTCCAACAAGTGTTTTAGAGACAGGACTGCAGTGACCCTGGGGTAAGAGAACTTACATCAATATTTTTTAGTACTTCTTTTTAGAAAAAAATTTTAATCCTCACAGGAGAATATATTTTTTCATAGCTCTTTTTTTTTTTTTTTGAGAGCATGGAAGGGAGGGATGGGGGCATAGGAGGAGGGGGAGATGATAGATAGATAGATAGATGATAGATAGATAGATAGATAGATAGATAGATAGATAGATAGATAGATGATATATAGATAGATAGATTAGATAGATGATAGATGATAGATGATAGATAGATAGATAGATAGATAGATAGATAGATAGATAGATGATAGATAAAGAAAGACACATCAATTGGTTCCCTCCCACATGCACCCCAACTGGAGCTAGGGATCGAATCTGCAACCAAGGTATGTGACCTTGAGCAGAAATTGAACCAATGACACTTCTGTGCTTGGGCTGATGCTCTAACGACTTAGCAACACTGGCCAGGGTAAGTATTTCTTCATTGGTAAGAGAAATATGGGGAAGAAGCTTTGGAACCCAGAATACTCTCAGATTCTGAAGTAACAAATAGCAGAATGATATAAAAAAATACTTTTATTTTTATAATATTTGTATAAGATTCCATAGTTTATAAATTATCTTATCATATCATATTTTATCCTCATTTTATCTAATTTAGCCTCATATTTATCTAAATTTATTCTCATATTAATATTCTTTGAGATTTTCATTTTTAGAGATGAGAAGTTGAGTAGCTAATTAGCTTGTATAAATCATGCAAGTGGTAAAAGAGGAATTTTTCCATTCAGATCCCTTCCTACTTTTGTAACTCCCAAAATCAGTAGTCTTCCTACAATATCATTGTTCCATGGTGTTCTTAATTCTAAAAGTTATTCCACTGTGGACAGGGGAGCTATCCTATCTAATAATAGAGAAACATGGTAATTAACCATAACTTCGCTACCCTTCCCATTGGCTAATCAGCAAGATATGCAAATTAACTGCCAACCAAGATGGCGGCCGACAGCCAGGCAGCTGAAGCGAACAGGAGGCTTGCTTGCTCCAGTGACAGAGGAAGCCAAGGTTCCCCGCCTGCCGCTGCCGGCCTCTGAGCTTGCACTCTAAGAAACAATGTTGCGATTATAGAACCTAAACAAACCCCAGAAACCTGCTTTCAGCCTTCAGAGCTGGAGCGAGCAGGACTGCAACAGTGTTACAATTATAGAACCCAAACAAACCCAGATCCCTGCTTTCAGCAGCCAAGGTCTCAGAGCTAAAGCTAGCTCTCGGTTCCAATGACAGCCATAGAAGGTAAATAAATCCCAGAATAAAAAATAAATAAAAAAAGGAGAGGTTGGGAGCTTTAGTCACCTGCCAGCTTGAACACTGCCCTCAGCCCCTCATCCAGACTGGCCAGGCACCCCAGTGGGGACCCCCACCCTGAGGGGTTGTGACCAGCTGCAAACAGCCATCATCCCCTCATCCAGGCTGGCCAGGCACCCCAGTGGGGACCCCCACCCTGATCTGGGACACCCTTCAGGGCAAACCAGCCGGCCCCCACCAGTGCACCAAGCCTCTATCCTATATAGTAAAAGGGTAATACGAAAACTGACCCTAACAGCAGAAAGACTTGGAATTACTGGTCACTATGACACACACTGACCACCCGGGGGTAGACTCTCAATGAAGGAGCTGCCCTCTGGTGGTCAGGTCGCTCTCACATGGGAGGAGCTCTGCTCAGCCACAAGCCAGGCTGATGGCTGCCAGTATAGCGGCGGTGGTGGGTGCCTCTCCTGCCTCCTCAGCAGCGCTAAGGATATCCGACTGCAGTTTAGGCCTGCTCCCCGCTGGCAAGTGGGCATCCCCTGAGGGCTGCCGGGCTGCCAGAGGGATGTCCCCCAGGGAGCGGGCCTAAGCCAGCAGGTGGTCATCCCCTGAGGGTTCCCAGACTGCGAGAGGGCACAGGCCGGGCTGAGGGACCCCCCTCCCACCGAGTGCACAAATTTTTGTGCACCAGGCCTCTAGTTGACTATAAAAGGCAATATTAAAAGTATATTATATGGCAAAAGAGGAAACGCAATTCAATGGAAAAGATAGACTTTTCAACAACTAAATACCCAAAGTCAACAATAGTGAAGCTAGACAAGATCTTACACCTTTCACAAAATTAACTCAAAATGGATCAACAATCTAAATGTAAAACACAAACCTATAAAACACCTAGAAGACAACATAGGAGAAAATCTAAGTGCTCCTGCAGTGATGATGAATTTTCAGATACAAAATCAAAATCAAAAACACAGTTCATGAAAGAAAACTTGTTAAATTCGATTTCATTACAATTAAAAACTTCTGCTCTGTGAAAGACCCTGGTAAGAGAGTGAAAATACAAGACACCCTGGGAGAAAATATTGGCATTGCATGAAGATGATAAGGTCATCAGAACACACATATATAATTACATATTGTTTTTGTGATTAATCACTATGCTTTAATTATGATCAATTTGTAACAATGAAATTGGGGGCCACCACAACATCAGGAACTGTATTAAAGGGTCTCGGCATTAGGAAGGTTGAGAACAACTGCTCTAACACTTCTTTGTCTCCTACCTTTGCCTCCTGTCACATACATATATATAAATACCTACTCACATACACACACACACACACACACACACACACATATATATATATATCTACACTAATAAAAGAGAAAAATGGCAATGGCAATTGGCGTACGGCGCTACCGTTTTCATTGGCTAATCAGGGCTATATGCAAATTAACTGCCAACTAAGATTGGCAGTTAACTGCCAACTAAGATTGGCAGTTAACTGCCAACAAGATGGCGGTTAATTTGCATATGTAGGCACAATGCAGGGAGGCGAAAGGGAAAGCAGGAAGAAGCCCCCTGCCACTGACAGTGATCGGAAACCCAGGGGGGAGCTAAGAGCTGGGGAGCAGGGCAAAGGCGGCCCTGGGGCCGCCTTTGCCCTGCCCCCAGCCATGATCAGAGAATCAGGTGCCTTTGCCGCCCTGGCCAGTGATAGCAGGAAGTAGGGGTGGAGCCAGCGATGGGAGCTGGGCACGGTCGAAGCTGGCAGTCCCAGGAGCTAGGGGTCCCTTGCCTGGGCCTAAAGCAGAGCCCACGATCGCAGGGCCACTGCAGCTGCGGGTCCCTGCTGCCTGGGCCCGACGCCCAGGCCAGAGGCGTTAGGCCTGGGCATGGGCGGAGCCTGCAACCGCGGGGAGCTGGGGGGGGGCGGAGCCGGGGATTGGGGGGATATGATGGTCCCCTTGCCCAGGCCTGAAGCCTGGGTCAGAGGCATCAGGCTTGGGCGGGGGGTGGAGCAAGCGATCAGAGGGAGATGGGGGTCCCCTGCCCAGGCATGATTCCTGGGCCAGAGGCCTCAGGCATGGGCGGGGGTCAGAGCCAGTGATCGGGGGGAGATGGGGGTCCCCTGTCCAAGCCTGACACCTCTGGCGGAGGTGTCAGGCCTGGGCAAGGGGCTGATCAGGTGATAGGAGGGTGATGAGGATCAACGCCTGAGGGCTCCCAGTATGTGAGAGGGGGCAGGCTGGGCTGAGGGACACTCCCCCCCCCAACCCAGTGCACGAATTTCGTGCACCGGGCCCCTAGTATATATATATATATATATATATATATATATATATATATATATATATATATATATAAAATTGTTGTACACATACACACATTATATTAGAATCATCACACAGAAAGGTATAGAAAAGTGTTATAGAAAATTCAAACATTTAGAATATGTAATATTCTTTTAAACTACATTTTCCCTCTTAGTTTAATTTCTCCTGTACCAGGAACTCAAAAACCAAAATAGGTTGTACTCACATTATCCTCTAAGAGCCTAAATTGAGTCACTTTCCTTGTAAAAGTTATTTTACTAAAATATATGTTAAAATTGTTTAAATGTTTTCAGAAATCACTCTATTGTGACCCTTTAACCAAGTATCTCTATTTCCCTAGTTATTTTTAAATCTCACTCTCCTCTGAATATTAAACTTCTTTTACTCCCTTAAAAATAGAGTTTCTGTAATATGTAGATGTAAATAAGAAGGAACTCTAACCCTTTGCAACAGCATGGATGGACATGGAGAGTACTATGCTAAGTGAAATAAGTCAGTTAGAGCAAGACAAATAGCACATGAGCTCACTTATATGTGGAATCTAATGAACACAATAAATTGACAAAATAGAACCAGAGGCATGGATACACAGAACAGACTGACTAACGTCAGACAGCAGGGTGTTGGGGGAATGGATAAAGGAAGGTGAAGAGTTAGCTAAAGAACATATATATGCATAGTCCATGAACACAGACAATAGTTTGGGGAGGGCTAAGGGAGGGGGCCAGAGGCTGGAAGGAGTGGGCAACCAGGGGGGCGGACATCCGCAATAGTGTCAACAATAAAAAATTAAATTTAAAAACATAGTTTTTAGAATTAAACACAGTACTCTAGATTTGTTCATATGAGGGCAGAATAACATATGTTTATCTTCTGATTCTTTCATGAAAGTTTATTTTTCCCAATACAACCTATTAATTCCACCTGTGTTTTTTTTGATATCCACATCATGTTTAACTCATACTGACCTAATGTCAAAAAAATTCTTAATCATTTTCTATAAAGTACTGCTAAACCAAGTTTTCTTTATTCTATATTTATGCAGCTGAACTGTTCTTTGGGAGAGGAGAATGGTTTTCAACTTGGAGATATAATACGTTTTGCATTTAAAAAAAAATGTTTTGTTCACAGGATATACATATTCTGAAAAATTAAAGATAGAAATTTTATTGAGGGATATAAAATATAAATTTTGAAACATATATCCTACCTGTAAAAACCTGGTGGTACTTGCTGAGCCAGGAAGTTCTTCTCCATGTCTTGGAGAATGTCATTCAGCATTCGGACACGCACCGGAACTCTCTCCCTGGGATCATTAGCAGGACGCATCTCATCTGACTGAAAGAGTTCAGCACTGTCCCGCAGGCGTGAGGCCAGGGCTAGCAGTTGATGAGTGTTGGGTTGATCACCTGGTGAAGATAAATGAGCTCATCTCAGAAGAGACATTCTCAAGGGAGCAAATGATTATGATGTATTGTCTAAATGCATTGTACTCTACTAAGCTTATTAAATTTACCACTGCTACTACTAGTACTAATCATAATTGCCACTAATAATAATAATACCATCAATAAATAGGTACTGATAGTTGAGAGACTATATTCCAGGTACTGGGTTGAGCACAATATATATTTATCTCATTTAATATTCACCAAACCTTGTATTGTCATGTCTATCTCATAGAGGGTGAGAATTAATTAAAGTAAGCAAATTGCCATAGATCATCAAGCTACATAAATGACAGGCTACAATCAGAAGATGGATCTTTCTGACACAAATATTCAGATTAGTCCACACATTTTCAAGTTTAAGGAGCACTGTGGAGAGGTGATCTGCTCAGAAAAAGAAAACTAGGTTAGAATTAAGGCCGATGTATAAAATATATCTGTTGTGGAATTACCAACCACTAATACAATGATCTTTTTTGTCTCTCACCTTTACTAGATGGGGATCATTTTACATGTCAGTTTCTCTAGAGTCCAGCATAGTGCTAACACTCAACAGTTGTTTACTGCATAAACAAAATCCATTTAATACATTATTTTTTTAAAAAAATACAATAAGGAAAGAAAACATGTAAAGTTAAGTGGTTTTCCTAAGGGATATAAAAAGATAACACTCTTTGTAACTCTTTAGTCACTGAAATTAACAACATAAATAAAATCAAATGTTTACAGATTTTGGCATTTTGATGTTTTTATAGTACATTTCACATTCATTAATTACCTTGTTTGATTTCACAACAAAACTTGATGTTGCGAGAAGACATATTTTTGCTCATTTAGAAAATCTACCCCTATAAATAACAATAATATCATGTTGTTTTTCCTTATTTTACGTTTTTCATCACTATTTATGCCCCCCTCCACCTCCATCCACTGCACTCCCCACAATCACTACATTGTTGTTCTTGTCCATGAGTTCTTTCTCTTTTTTATCTCATTTGCTTAATCCCCCCAACCCCCCCCACAAGACCTACTAATGTAATTCGATAAAGATATGATTTATCTTGAATTATTATAATTTGCCAAAGTTAATATATGGAGAACTTACAGGGACATCTTGGCAAATGAACAAAATAGATAGGAAACATTTAGTTTATGCTGGAATTGAAAGACTGAGCAACAGTAAAAACAAGTTCGACATCCTTGAGAGTCTTCCATTTAAGAAAGAAAAATCTGTTCTGATGTAACATACACTACAAAATTGAAGACATTACTACTGAATCAAGTGAGACAAATTGTACCATTCTACCTTATTTAGCTTTAAATGAATTGATCTTTCATGGTGGTGCAGACACAGAGCTTTGATGGTTTTAGGAACTAGCTAGATCCAGAAGGATTCCTGGTAGTAGAAATCTGCCATCCATGGCACACACCTATGCATTACCTCAAGGGTATGAGGCTACAAATGGAAAAGTAGCTTCACTTCCAATGTTCATGAATCATCTTGCTATATAACTGATGTTCTAAAGACTCCTAATGGTCATTTCTGTGCTAATTAGAGCTTATTTGTCCCTTTAAATAAGACTGAGAAAGTAATGTCGTCTTTTTATGTAGGTTTTTGTTACTCCAAATGTTTGCTCTTTTATGATCCTTAGGATCCATACTAAAATGTCAGTTCTGTGAGGGAAAAAAAAAATTGGTAGTGGTTTTGTTCACTACCATTTGGCAGCACCTGAAACTGTGCCTGTATTTTGTTGATGACTGAACATGCACATTTGGACTTCGATCATAGCATCACGACATCTGTCACATTTTAATATTTATTTGTCTTGTCTCTCTCCTTTCCCTGGCTGAAAAGAACCCCACAAGATCCATAGATATGTTTTATCTCTCTTTGCATCTCCAAATTCTAGCATAATACCTTACACATGATTGTCACTTAATAAAAAATTTTGTTGGGTGAATGTTGAATTATAGGAAAATGTCTTATTTGAAATATATTAGTATATTAAATAATGCCTAAAAATTACCCAGGATGATGTTTAGAACATACTAAAAAAATCTTATTTTCTTTACTTTCTTGCTGAAATCAATAACAGTTGCAAAGAAAAAATTTAAAAATAGAAGAGGCTATCTAAGGGTAATGATAAGTTAAACTAAATTGAATTAAAATCAAGGGTTTGAGGTGTTTTTTGGTAATATTTTTTTTAAATGTGTTCTTATTGATTTCAGAGAGAGAGGAAGGGGGAAGGAGAGAGAGAAACTTAGATTTCTGCCTCCTGCATGCCCCCACTGAGGATCCAGTCCACAACCACAGCATATGCTCTGAACAGTAATCACACCAGTGATATTTTGGTGCATGAGAGAACACTCAACCAACTGAGCCAGGGCAATAGTTCAGGTTTAATAAGTACACCAAGAACATGAAGTAGGAGCTAGAGATTTCACTCAAGGAGAATTAATGTAATTATCCTAAAGTAATATGTATATGGACTGGAAAGCCAAGGACTTGATATAAAAAACAGAGAAGAGCCTGATCTACTTAATTACCATCAATGCGGTCTTGAACAGGTTACTTAATACTAGTGTCCTTCAATTTCCTTGTGGAAAATGGAGAACATGTTTATTTCACTCTTTAAGCATAAAGATCACTATGTTAAGGCAGGTTATTGTTAACAAAGTACACAAACTAAACACAAATTATTACCAACTCATTTTCTACAGGCATGCAAAAAATATTGTAACAGCTTTAATATTGCTTTTATTCTCAGAAATGTTATTGCTCATTACTTTCTTCAATCCGTGGCCTCTCCAGCAAACATATTGTGTCACTTTCCTACACACTTTAATCAGCATTCTCTATGAATTTAGCACCATTTTTTTTCTTTCCATGGGCTAGCATATCAAATCTCTGGAGAATAAGGGAAGAAATAATACAAAGGGTAAAGGAATTAAACATCCACTCTCTAAAAATGATTCTTCTATATCGTTGCTTCAAGTGAAAAGCCAACTATTAATAAGTTTTCATAGCATGGCAGAACAAACTGATTTGTAAAATATATTAAACATAAACATTAAAAATACAAAATAATAGAGATTCTCTTGATGTTACTGAAGAGATAACTAAGATGTACTCCTAGATTTCAAACAAAAAGTTTGTGTCCTAGTTGGTTTGGATCAGTGGATAGAGCGTCAACCTGCAGACTGAAGGGTCCCAAGTTCCATTCTGGTAAAGGGCACATGCCTGGGTTGTGAGCTCAATCCCCAGTAGGGGGCATGCAAGAGGAAGCTGTTCAATGGTTCTCTCTCATCTTTGATATTTCTATCTCTCTCTCCCTCTCCGTTCCTTTCTGAAATATATATATATATATATATATATATATATATATATATATATATTCCTATCTAATAAAGAGGGAATATGCTAATTGACCCTCACACCATCGCAAAGATGGCAGCACCCACAGCCAATAAGGAGGGATATGCTAATTGACTGCCCTGCCCTCAAAGATGGTGGCTCCTACAGCCACAAGATGGCGGTGTCCAATCCCCTCAGTCCCACCAGGGCTCTGTGTACCTTCCTCCAGAGTCCCCCAGTCCCCTCAGCCCCCCCAGCCACCCAGGGCTGGCCCGAGGCACAGGCAAGCCTCGAATGGTGACTGCCCAGCTGCCCAGGGCCGCCCGAGGCTCAGTTAACCAGGGCCGGCTGAGGCACAGGCAAGCCTCTGATGATGGCTGCCCAGCTGCCCAGGGCTGGCCTGAGATGCAGGCAAGCCTCGGATGGAGGCTGCCCAGCCACACAGGGCTACCCAAGACTCAGGTAACCAGGGCCAACTGAGGCTTGTGCTGCCAGCAGTGGCAGCAGCAGAGGTGTGATGGGGCATCGCCTTCCCCTGATCGCCAGTTACCTCCCACCCCTGAGGGCTCCTGGACTGTGAGAGGGTGCAGGCCGGGCTGAGGGACCCCCCTTTCAGTGCATGAATTTTCATGCATCGGGCCTCTAGTATATATATATGTGCTTTTTTCCTCTTTCATCTCCAAGGAAAATAACAAATGTATTCTCAGTAAGTACTTACTGAGTCCTCTTTTGTGTGCTATTCTGGAAGTGTTGGGAGAGGGGCAAAGACATAAGATTAAATCTGGAACCTTAATAGGTTTCTAATCTAGTTATAAATAATCCACAAACTGAGAATAAATAGTGTCAGATGAAATTAATGCTTATGAGGATGACTGAATAGTTCATTGTGTACAAGAGTATGCTTAGCAGGTCCCAGGGGAGAAATAATACTTGAGAGAGAAAAAATAAAATTGCCCAGAAATTAAGGGCATCTCAAATGGAACTCTTGAAAGTTCTGGGACTTGATAGATGTTAAAATGGTTGAGGGAAATGTTTCATCTGTAAACAATATGATTAGTGTTCCCTAAGTCCTCACCTGTTTAGAGTTTTAATCTACCTCAAACGTAAACCCTGTCATCTTTCTGGCTTTTTCTGGATAGGACAGAGATGGACATTATAAGCAGTATCAATAGTCATTGAAGAGCATGGAGGGAGAAAGGGAGGATGGAAGGGAGGGAGAGAGGGATGGTGGGAAGGAAGAATGACTAGTCAGCAGATGTTGAGATGCACATTGGCATCTAAGCAAGCCAATTCAGGAGAGGCTTTAAAATATACTGTAGGAAATATTCATACTACTCAGGGAATCTCCTGCCTTCTAGCCAACCAGCAACAGATAGCATCCTTCCGGGAAGGCAGTTTGAGAGGCAGCATGCTGTCGTGGAAAGGGCAAGGGCTTTGGAATCTCGCAGACCTATACTCAAGTCCTAAACCTACCCCTTAAATGTATACACTTGAGTAAGACACACACACACACTCACACACACACAGAGCACACAACCCGTCCCCCCCCCCCCTCCACTCCCACACTGAGGCCTGGTTTCTTGTAATCTCTAAAATCAGTTTTAAT